TATTATTAAATGTATATAGAGGTGGAGTCCGTATTAAAAGGGTTCTAAATTTTCTTTAGAAATGTCAATTAATTTTGTTAGAAGTTCACAAATTAATATATTATGTATATTTAATTAACAAATACGGGTCTACGAAAAAGCTACCCTTTGAGCTAGTTTTTGGGTGTGAGTTAATCCGAAGACCTAATTTAACATTGTATCATAGCAGGGCACATCTCATCCGATGTTGGGACCCCCAAAAATAAAAAATTGTCCACGCACCAGATGCTAAGCACTGGGCGTGAGGTGGGGTGTTAAAGAATGACAAAAAGTCTCACATTGGTGATTAATGAGATAGGTGGACTCCTTATAAGGCTTGGACAATCTTCTTCCCTTTGAGCTAGCTTTTGGGTTCGTTCCACAAACCTCCACCTAGCTCCACCTCTGAATGTATATACTACATTTTAATTGTTTTTTTTGTGCGTGTTACTTAATTAGTTGGAGCATAAGACAATGAGCGTCATTTTAATTGATCAATTGCACTTACAGAATTCGTTCTGAATTTGCGGATTGCTACTTTCTGGATGTTGTAGTCTAAGACTCTTTTCTTCTTTATGTTTTGCTTGCATTATTGGTGCTAATCTAATGTGTTTGTGATGAATATAATGTGCACAGGTATATTTACAATGACAGAACTCCTTTTGAGAAAGTACCTGATAGTTACTTCTGTCCTGGTATGTTATTTACATCATCATTGAATTGTAAAAATCACTAATTCAGTATCCGATGTTATCTTGCTTTGTGATTAAGCAAAATAGTTATCATTCTGTCATAATTAGTTACCGATATCTTATCAACGAGCTTTGGGGTTTTCCTTGGTTTAAATCAAAGTGAAACAGCCTCTGGAACAATTAGCCATTCCTTAGAAAAGATGATTCTGCACTAATTTAGCTCTATGACAAATATATCTCATCATTAAGATATACTTAAAGAACTTATGTTTTATGATAAGGATAGTATTTGGTAGATTTATCTAATGTGGAACTTAGAGAAATGAAACAAATTCATAGATTGAAAATGGGAATTAGGGGGAAAAAGAAACAAAAAAAATGGACCTCCAAGTGAGAACGAACACCCTGTTAGCTCAATGATTTGTGACCATTAATCCCTTATCCAGATGCAAACTTTTAAAAGTTCACTGATTTTCGCTCAGTTTTTCTTTTCTTGGTATAACCATCTGGTTTTAGCCTAGCTAACTAATCGAAATTCACTTCGCGTAGAACTCTTTAAGGGAAACCTCTCCCTACCATAGGTTTCTCTATTCCTAGGTCTCGAAACCTGAGACTTCTAGTTAAGGGAGAGGGATCCATCCCATCATCCTGCCACACTCCTTGATGGTTCCTTGCTAAGTTTTTCAATTAGCATCTATTAGCCGTTAGCTATGAATTTTCCTCTTTATTTCTCGAGATCCCAAGTGATTTGTAAGACTTTGGTTTGATATATGATTGCAGTATGTGGAGCTCCAAAAAGAAGATTCAGGGCATATGAACCTAAGGTAACCAAAGATGCTAATTCCACAGAGGTTCGTAAGGCCAGGAAAGAACAGTTAAAGAGAGACGAGGCTGTCGGGTAAGTTCCATCTTTCATACTTACTCTTCTCTCTATCAGTTTACTTAATTAATTTGAATTCAAATCAACATAATCAACTATGATTCTTCCTTGGTGTAGGAACGTTTTGCCTATTGCTATTGGAGTTGGAGTTGTTGCACTTGCTGCTTTATACTTCTATGTCAACAACACTTCCTAGATTCAAGTGGACACAGAAACAATGTCATCATCTTCTGATTAACATATCAAGGAGATTGTTAAATTTTGTATTGAAGTTCTTCTATGTATAATTGTTTATTCTATCCATTCATTCTATATATTCCACTTCTAAAGTGATGGAAATATGAAATTGCTAATTTGTCTTTGTTTAAACAAACTGTTTTATGCAAAAGAAGACCTTATAAGTATGAGTTTGAATCAGTCTTAAGTATGCTAAATATACAGATGTCATGGTATGATTAGAATACTATTTGTCAACAACATACTCAGTATCTTACTGATCTCATAAGTAGTGTCTAGCGTGAATGCAAACTTTACGCTTACCTAATATGAGGTAGAGAGGTTGTTTTCAATAGATCTTTGGCTCACATAATTCAAATCCTAAATGGAATGGCCAATAACTCTTTATTATTCTCAGAACATCAATTCTATCACGTCTTTAAAAGACCTTTCAATGTCAACTGCATTCTTATGGTAACGTAAGTGGGGGTAATGGTATTTATGAATTATGATGTTGAATCCTCCGTTTATTAAAAATAAAAAAGATGTCACTTTACTAATTGTCTTTCATCACATCATTACTACTTTGCTAAGAAAAAAACAAACTCAATGTCATAATAGAAGAAAGTCGAATTCTCTTGAGAGTTGAGACGACAAAAAATGAAAGCACTTGAAGAAGTCTAAAAGTGTGGCCAAAGCAACATCACTAGTCATAAAAGAACAGAAATGTGCCACCGCAGGATGAATTTTAAAAAGTTAATATGTATCAATATCCACGAAAAAAGACAATTCATGAATAAATATTGAAACGTCAAAATAAATTATGAACGTGGTAACTATTAATTGCTTGGACGCAGGGCTGGCTCAATGCCTTTAAAAATGAGGCATATGCTTAGGCCCCAAAAATCAAAGGGCCTAATTTTTTAGTAATAATAAAATTATTATAAACATTTTTAAACAAAAAAATATATAATATATTTTTTAATTTATTTGTCTTTTTTATGTTTGTTTCGAAACATTAAAGAATGTTTCTTTTTTATGAATCAATTTTTAAATTTAACTTCCACGTGATATGTTTAAGACCACAAGATTAAAAATTATTTTGATATATATAAATATATATCTTTAGTTTAAGATCATAAAAAATAAATTTAGGTCACTAATTAGCTTGAGCCGCCACTGCTTGGGCGTATATGATAGACTCACAAAATTTCAGGTCAAACGAAGTTCACGAAAATCAACATGCATATTTACATATGGAAAAAACAACTCATTAGTGATGATTTAGTCGCCGCAAATTACTATATTAGTTGCCATATAGCAGCTCGCCGCGAATACACATATTTGTTGCCAAGTTAGTATTAGCGGCAACTTTGTCTGCCACAAATATTAGTATTAGTTGCCAATAAAAGTATGTTTTCATAGTTACTTTTGTGCCCCTAATATTAATAGTATGTATTAGCAGCAACTTTAGTCACCACTAATAGCTATACTAGTTGTTGCAATAAGTGAGTATTGAGTATCGATAGTCCCCGCAAAATGCCTTTTCAAGTCGCAAACTTTATCCTTACCTCATGTGAGATAGAGAGGCAATTCCCTCCAATCTCTACTGCATTCTTATGGTAAATTCTTACTCGTTCGGGTGTTAACATTAGATTATGTAAATTTACTAATTAATCACGATTCTAAGTTGATTGCTATTTTTTTTTGTGCAGATATATATCATTCATTTATTGACTTGATATAAACATGAATACAAATAAGTTGTTACCCATTCGTCTTATCGTCCAAAGGAACAACATCATAAAGAACAAACATGGAAATGCAACAATAATTAGAACGGTAAAGAAACATCCATAGCCGCTCCCATGAGTCTGCCAATGGAAACATCATTATCAGTAACCAACCTAACAGGATATGATATCTCTTGTTCTTCTTTTGCCTCTTTGAAACAGTAAACAGGGGCTTGCCATTTTGGATCCTCTAGCACTTTTCCTACTTCAAATGTCATTACATGTGCAATCATACCTGCACCCACCCAAATTTCTTTCGTTAATAACTTCTGTTCTGTCTCACCAAAAAGAACGCAAATTTACGCGAATGTTCAAACACATTTGAAAAAAAAAGTTATATACACTGACAGCACGAGCAAATTCTACTACACATATCATTGAAATTTACTGAATTTACAATGTTCATATGAGTAAATTTCAGCTTTGTGTTCATTCATATAAAGTCATCTGACTTTGAGTTTATCACACGAAAATTATTTTTTCTGTTTTGCCAAATTGTTTAAAAAAGTAAATTTCACAATGCACTCCAAAATATGCTAAACTTCAAACACTTCTAATTTAAGCCATTACCTGTGTAAAAAGCCCAGTAAACAGGTCTCTTAGTAACAACATCTTCGTAGTAGGTAATGAATTCAACTTTTTCCCAGACATTGCAGAGAAATCCATCCATATATCTCTGTCCCAGATAATTTCCGTCTTGTAGCCAAGTGGGTCTAAGGAGTCCCACCGGAAAATGCGTGACCCTGCACTCTTTGTTAGCGTCCAAAGTGTAGTAGAACGAAGTGTGGTTATTCCATTCCAAATCGTAAAGGAGTTTTCCCAATTGATTTTGGATAATGTTGAAGTTCCGGCCGTTAGGAAAATCGTACCACAAATCAACGATCTGTAGATTCCCCTTGCTGTTGTTCATGAAGAGAATCGAATGAAATTGCTCCGGCCATGGAGTAGGTATTGGGTCGCCGGATTCTGACGCAATGCTGACGGTGAAGCACAGAGAAGACGCCGCGAAGAGGAGGAGAAGAGTGGAAATTGTAATGGATTTCCCTGAAATCAACATTTTTATTTCTCTTACTACAAAGGCAGAGATAGAGGATATCCCTATTTGTTTTGACTTTACCTTTTGTTGGCTCATATAAAAAATGGGTAGATAAGGTAGCAATAATTTGGGTGATTAAAAAAAGAAAAAAAAACTTTAAGCAAAATAAAAAAATTTCAAATTCGTATTAACTTTCTAGTTGATTGTTTAATATTTTGAGGCAACTAGTACAAATACAAAAAGTAAGACGGCATACAATAGATCCTTATGATTCGATCTTTCCTTGAACCCAACACATAGCGAGAGTTTAGTATCCTAAATTGCCCCTTTTTTGACTACTTATACAAATCGGCAAACACCACAGGAAATCAAGCTATTATAATATTCCAATAATAATTATGTAGCAATCAAGCTATTATAATGTTCCAGTGATAGTTATGTAGCAATTACATAAGCTAACCAAAGAAATGCTTTTACTGAGGCATTATTCAAACAGAACTGAGATCCTATTATTTATTAAGTAAAAAACATACATAGTAATAACGAGTCCCTATACAAGACTACAAATCAGTTGTTCTTTGACACCGTCAACCAGAAAAATAACTACTGGTTCCCAGCTATAGGTGCATCTCGGCCTTTCTTGATATCATCCCACCCTCTCACCCAAGGTTTTCCTGGAACAGCACGAGTCTCGGGAGAAGAATGATTGTTAAGGTTGTTCATAACCTTTTCACGCACAGCAGAAAACACCTACACCACAAGTACACATCAGATGAATTATATATTCAAATAAACCAATCGAATGAAGTATCAATTCTACAAGGTTGATGGCTCACAGGATTTGTGCTTATTGCATCTGGGGGTTGCTCCTGACCAGTCAGCCACTTCCACAAATCTGGATTCTCCTACAGACATAAATAGAATAAACTGAATAAGACGCCTCTAGTTAATCTTCACAAAGGAGATTTGACCAGCTACGACCATTCTACGCCATATAAACAGATTATTTGCATTTGTTTTTCTTTCATTATTTTGTTGGAGGAGGGAGTGGGGCAAGGCAAAGAGGGTTGAGAAAGATATTAACTGATGGAAAAGGATGAGACAACCATCATCGGAAGAATCACAGAGAAAATACAATTGTAAACATTGCATTGCAAATTGTGGCATTTGAACAAAACTGATGATTGTTAATGTCAAGTCAATGTGGTGCATATATTCTATGATTGCTGAATATATCAGACTGGACTGGTCACATTCTAATCCCCAACCAACCTTCCCACCTCTTAATATAATCCTTTTTCTCCTGCCTCCCTTTTGTATTCCTTAATCTTACACTCCTTAACTTTTTGGTTTTCCTTTACCTAACATGTTCCTGAGTTCCCTGGGGTGAAGGGGAGGATTTTGAGTCCAAATTCGGCCACAAAAAATAAGTAGGAACTCATACATCCAACTACCTAATTCTTACATGCTATAAGATATATGCATAACATAATATTTTACTCTCTTAATTAGGGGTGAGTGGGGGGGTGGGCAGAGTAGGAACACAAAAAGAAGCAAATACTCAAATGGTACAGTACTTTCCTTCGTAAGTAATAGTAATAAGAAAGATTAAGCCCAATGCTGACTAAGCAGTTAAAAGTACCAGTAAAAGTTTATGCAGGGGAGGGCCGACTATCGTTTACTATAAAAACACCAAGAAGCAAAACACTCATGTTAGCCCAAGGCATTAGCTCCAATAGTCAAGGATCCACCTCCCCAAAATTATGCTTGCTTCTCCTAAACCCTGAAGCCAAGCTTACCCTTCTTCTGACTTAACCCCACCACCCTCACATTCAGCAAAAAAAGTAATAATAAGAAATAAAGAAAGTGGACATGTTATCCTATAAAATGAAATGATGCACAAACAGCAAAATCGCCAATACTGAACTTGATGAAATTACTGCACAATTCTGTTCACAGTCTACTCAAGTAAAAAAAAAAAAGAATCAAAACTTTCTAATCACTATACATCCTTTGAGCACAGTAAAAATGAGAGTAAATGGCCAAAAGTATCCCTTAACTATATCCCAAACCCAACCCACATCATTCTATATTCATGTTAAACAAAAAACATCCCAAACAATCCTAAAAAGTAGTAGGTTACATCCTCCAGTTAGTTTCGGTAAAAAAAAAGTAATGATACAATAATGTGCATGTTTAGATAAGATGTTAAATCAGTTTTAAACCCATATAATTTGACCTTGGTGCTTTACTCTGTTCTGCTTCTACTTTCTTAGAAGTTTGCAAAGCTTAATTTTTCAACCACGAACCAACCAAGAAATGCCTACTCTTCAGAACAAGAATGTAATTCATCAATGACCAAGGAACTGCTAGCAAGCAACAAAAAAATCAATGAAAGTCATATCATTTGATCCCAAGTCGAACATGAAGAAGTTATAACCACTGGGGTTCAATACAGAGAGCAAGATAGTGCCAATTTATTTGCAGGAGTCTTAGTCTCTGATCTGACGGGACTAGGAAAGGGAAAAGACAGTGAGAACTGCAGACACCTATTGTGGCAGACTCCAACCAGTACAACTAGGCTATTATAAGTCTTGGTTAACATCGGGTTGATTCTTAATGTACGCAGAAGCTTGCCTGATTTCCCTTTAAGAGACAATATACATGACAATATACAAGGTTGAATTCAGAGAAAATGCCATCTGCTGTTTAATTTTAGTTTTTTCAGATTTAATCATCTAGTTTTATGAAGATCAAGCTTGAAAACTTGAGCACCAGTTTGAGCATGTGTGAAACTGAGCTGCAGAATGTGGTTTATTTGAGCTCAAATTGAGGCACAACAGATTCAAATCTAAAGAAGTCGGCAATGGCAGATTGATGACATTGAGGATCTACTGATGGAGGATTTCGATATATTTTGTTCTTCTTTGCTGGAGACAAGAGCCATCGCTGACAATTCTACATCTTTGTCAAACTTTAGGGTTAAGGTTCAATAGAAGATGTCATACTAGGCTAACAATAACATAGCAGAAAATTTCTAGATTATTCACCTCAAATCAAGATCATAGACTCCTACTACGAGCTAGAGCATTTATGATATCTAATTATTGACATACAAGATGATAAAATCCATATAAGAACGTGAAAACATAAAAATAATTATAATGAAAAAATATAAGAGAGTTACCAGGTCAAGGACATGAACAAGGGACTTAATTCCATTTTCGTCCATGGATTGTATATGTTCCTCCACCCATTTGCCAAGAACAAGGTCTAGCTCCAGGTATCCTCTTTGTTTACTGCGATAAATAAGCCTATATCCATACAAAATAAAAACACTATCATGAACCAGTCCGCCGCCCAGAGGACCATATAACCCAGAGTATCAAATAATAAAAAAAACTTCAAATTCACCTGTTAAACAAACGTCTTTTGCTCTCTTCGTCAGAAAAATCGATATTTATCGGCGATGAAGTCTCATTAGAAGAAATAAAACGCGAAAATGTTCCAGCTAAAGGCCTAATTGAGCATACAAAAAAGATATTTTCAACACATAACAAACATACAGTGGGTAAGACAAGGTAGAATTCTGTACCTGTAGAGATTGTGAGACTGGAGTGTGGAAGTTGCAACAGATGCTGTTTTAGATGAATTGATGATTCGAGGAATGGTGAAGAGAAGTGCCCTTCGCAAATTCTCCATTTTTTCTCTGCAGCAAGGAACTAATTAAGCTCTATTGAGGATCAATGGAAACTTCAAATTTGATCTCGATTGGGGTTTAACATGCGGTTTTTGCCTAATGAAATACGAGGCGTGGCGTCTTGGCATCCACTATACCCGTCTGTTAACACTTTTTTTATTCGGGTATAATTCAACCCGAAATTGATCCCAAATTAAACCGAAAAAAGTAAAAATAGACGATTTAATTGCACGATTTTTTGCTTTATAAATGTACTGATTTTTTAATTTTATTCTTCAGTTTTTAGTTTTAGTTATCAAACATTTGTCTGGAGGGACATAAGTTTTATACAACACGAAGATAACTTGTGAGATATTATGATGTGAAAATATAAACTTTTGTTCTACGAAAAAGTTATTTACGATAAAAATTAAACATCATCACAGTATGAGGTAAGGCCAAAAGTACAAATGACTATAAATAGATACCATTGCCTCAATTTTTATATTATAATATTCAACGAGACGTAAAAGTAAATAAAAATTGAAATAATAGATAACTTATAAAAGAAATACTATTAATTTGATAAAACAAATAAGGCCTTGATCCCTAATTCCCTTTATAACTCAAGCAAAAATTCTCGACGTAAATATGATAAAATTCAACATTTGCAATACAAATTTCATTTGATAATAATAATAATATGCGATAAAATGAGACACACTAAATACTAGTATATATATTTGTTTTTTTTGGGATAATTTCTTAAATGGCCACCCAAATTTAGAAAATCGTTTTCAAATATTATTTTTGTTTCATTTAACCAATGAATATTGTTGAAACGAACGCGGTAGGATTGCTCCAAATATATCGGAAGAATATCGGTGTTTCTGTTACATCTCTTCTCCTAAGCTACCTTTCTTTCTCTCTAACAATTTTCCCAAATTAGTGAATGAATTAATGCAGCTGCAGAATAGATAGATACAACTTAATTGGAAGCAGAATCGAAATTGAAAATAATAATGGATAAAAAGGAAAGGGCTAAGGAAAAAAAGGAGAAAAGACGCCAAGAGATCTCTCTTCTACGTACTATTCCCTATTCTGATCACCAAAGGTCTCTTCTTTTTTACATTTACCTTTTTTTAAAGAATTAGATTCATCTTAGTTTCTCGAGCAGAGACGAATCTAGGATTTAGAGTTAGTGAGTTCAAAATGTGTTTAATCTGATCTTTTTTTTATGTATATGTGTGTATAATTTTAATTAGATGCAATGATTTCAGTTGAACTCATAGATCCCGTCCTAGATTCCTAATGGATGGTTATATTTGGCCGCGGTTTACTTTTCATGTGGATTTTTATTTTGAGCATAATGCTGATCGTGTTTTGCATGATTTATAGATGGTGGTCATCTGAAACAATTGCTGTTGTGACGGGTGCAAATAGAGGGATTGGATTTGAGATTGCTCATCAGCTTGCATCACATGGCATTACTGTTGTTCTTACGTCGCGAGAGACAGCCGTTGGGGAAGAAGCAGTGAAGGTCTTTCAGGAAGGAGGTCTAAATGTGGCATTTCATCAATTGGATATTGTGGATCCTGCATCAATCCAAACATTTTGTGATTGGATTAAAGAAACATATGGTGGCCTAGATATACTGGTAATCATTAATGTGTTTTGTTATTAATTAGGAATCTATTTTACTTTCACAAAGCTAATGATGATATGTATGGGAACTTGTAGATCAACAATGCAGGAGTCAATTTCAATTTCGGCAAAGATAATTCTGTTGAATTTTCTGAAATGGTAATCCAAGTTAACTATTTTGGCACCAAAAACATGATCAAAGCACTTACTCCGTTAATGAGGCCTTCCCCTGCTGGTTCTCGTATTGTTAGTGTGACCTCGCGATTGGGTAGACTTAATAGCAAACGAAATGTAAGTAACAGCTCCAGTATTTCATTATAATTAACATTGCAGTGTGTGATCAGCACATCCAAAGCTTAAACTGTTATAAAAAACATACTTTTAATTGCTTAATTGTAATCATGCATCTACACATACCCTCGCGTTTATGGCCTTATTCTGTTTCTTTCATGTCTGCTATGGTACCATAAGATGGAATGATCTTATTTACCATCTGAATATGATCTATTTTTGGTTGATTCTACCAGGGAATTTCAAATGTAGCAGTGAGAGAACAATTAGAAAACGTGGATTCGCTATCTGAGGAAGTTATCGATAAAACTATGAACACATTTTTGGAACAAGTAAAAGATGGAACTTGGGAATCAGGCGGATGGCCTCATGTGTTCACAGACTACTCATTGTCAAAGCTAGCAGTTAATGCATACACCAGGTTAATGGCAAGGATATTCGAGGAACGGCCAGAAGGTGAAAAAATATACGTAAATTGCTATTGCCCGGGATGGGTGAAAACTGCTATGACTGGCTGGGCAGGCCATGTTACTATTGAAGAAGCTGCTGATACTGCTGTCTGGCTTGCTTTGCTCCCTGATCAGTTTGTGAGTGGTAAGTTCTTCGCTGAGAGGCGCGAAATTAACTTTTAAACTGTCAGTGTATATGATTTGTTTTTTTGTTTTTTAAAACAAGATTTTCATCGATGGAGTTCAGATTCGAGATAATCTGCATTTTGTTAACTGAAATGCACCCAACTGATATAAGTAGAAATAGATGAAATTGATTGCCTAGAGACGTTGGGGTGAACTGTTTTTTTGGTATTTTTGTGGTATTTTGCTCGAGGTGTCTTGACAAGTAACAGTGGCAGATATTGATATTGATGAAGAGAAAATTTATTTGTACTTGTAATTTTATTATTTAAGCAGATTGCAGGCAAGCTTGCTTTTGACCTCTGTAATGGATTTAATAAATATTAGTTATACATACACAATGTCCTTGGTACATTTCTGTTTTATACAAATCTATAGTCTATAAATACATAAAGTTATCTTCGTGTGATCTATAGATTGTATACATCTATTTTGTTAAAAGGGTTACAGTCGCTTAATGCATCATAAAGCAACAAGTAGAATATGGAAATTCAATGTTGATCAGTTGTAGTCCAAAAGAGTCTAGATTTGCTTGTCAAACGGAGAAGGAAAAAAATAAAACAACAAGACGATTGAAGGGTGTTTTTTTCGCGTAAGCTAATTCTCTTCCTCGTCTGTTTGGAAAATAAGCCCCAATTTGAATTAGTCATGTTTTTTTTTCTTCATAGATTAGACTAAACTATATATCTTGAGGAGCCACCTGGTCAAACTTTCAAAATCTGTTTATAAGGTGTTCTGTAAGATTTCTTTTTGTTTTTTAAAAAACTTTTGGAGAGTAATAATTTGTGTTTGAATAACTAATTAATTTTTGCATTTTGATCGATTCAGTTCAACTTATCGGTCATCGGTTTGTAGATATGCTAAATCGCTATGAATCATTAAGATATTGACTTATCAGTTATCGATTTATCAGTTATTGATCGTTATCGAGTTAATTGTTAAGATTTGACACAAAAAAATAAATGATTGAAAATCACTTAGAAACATGGTGACAAAACAAATAAGTCATGCACATGAATTGATTGATTGCATTTTGCTCAAAAGAAACACTAAAATATTGTAGAATAATCAAAAGTTTGAGACAGCCAGAAATAAAAATATGAAATTAAATCCTAAGTCAAGGACTTTTTATACCGAATGATATAAATATAATTTATTAATTTACTATTGGGTTATTGGTTAACTCGTTAAAAAAAAACTTCAAACCGTTAAAAACCAATAATCAATAATTAAAAAAAATTAAAATCGTTAAACCAATAACCCATTATCGATAAATCAATAGCTTTTTTCGATTTGAATTACCAATTTCAATTCAATTTTAAACGGACCTAACAAAAACAATATGTTGCTTGACAAGCACTCCAACAATGCTTTTAAAGAGAAACTTTTTTTTTCCAGCTTTTGTTACTAATTAACTAAAAGTATTTTTTTTTTCTATGATAGCTTGATCAGACGCAACTTTATTTTTAAAAATGAACACTTCTAACTTTCTAAAATTGTTGCCTAATAAAACTATAAAGAATTTTCAAATCATTGCAAATTCGAGGATTACCTAAAATTAGATGTTTACAACGAGAAGAATGTACTCCCTCAGTCCCATTTGACTTGGACTCTATATAAAAATACATATTTTATTTTACTTATTCATTTTAATACATACATCAATATTTTTGCTTGTTATTGTTAGATTTAAATACTATATAAAGTACTCTCTCCGTCACAATTGTTTGTCAGGTATACTAAAAATAGATGTCCAAAACTAATTGTCAATTTAAACAATCAAGAAACAATTAGTCAGTTTTTTCCAATTATGCCCTTAATAATTACATTACTACTAGTTTCAAAAATAGTCATTTTAAAGTTACAAGATTACTTTAATGAGAAAAAAGTTGTTTTTATAATTTTCAAAAAGTACAAACTATTTTAATAATGATTGATAGTATGGTTATATTAGTCAAATTGCATATTATATTAATTTTTTCTTAAGGATTATGCATGATCTTACCCTGATAAACACTAGTGAACGAAGGGAGTAATAAGTAGTAATTAAATTTGAAAGTATTATTATTATAATATCAATTTAATAAGATATATATTTTAATTAAAAAATCCTTGAATTTGGGGATGATCTCTAATCTAGAAGGTGTTTATTGGGTTGGCACTTGGCAGTATGGAATTCGGATTTAACCAACTTCCCATACCTACATGGCACGAACTTCGAAGCATAGTTTTGGTACATAATTTTCTCATAAAGGGATGTGGGAGCAACAAGTTGGATGTATTATTTATTACTGATAAGGATCTTGGTTGAGTAGTTCTTCATTTTTAATTAATGATTTTGAATTTGAGTTTTTTTGAGTATGGAATTGTCTCTGTCTGAGAGTATTTTACTCTTAAAAAGAAATTTTTTAATGCAATTTTAAATTTAATCATGCCTCAATATAAGTGTCGGATATCGAATAAAAAAAAATTAGATGTAATATAAAAGTTAGGAGTCCATTTGATTATTCGTATAATTATTTTTTCTAGTCAGTACTATTAATAGAAATGCATAATCAACTATTGATTCTTATCGATTAGAAAAAAATTAACCTCTTGAGGTTGA